AGAGAGACAGAGAGACAGAAAGCAACAAATCACCCCCCAGGGGAGGTAACCACGCTGCAATCCCTTCTCCTCCATTCTCCTCTCGGGATCTTTGGCACGCACACACACACACCCGGTGTGAGTTTAAGTCACCGGGTCTGGGACTCGAACTGCAGTCGACTACATGGGAATCCAGTTACATAGCCATTACGCTAACTGCTGGTCCCAGCTCTTCTCCTTAAAAACAGTATCACATGGGGCCAGCAGGTGGCATAGTGGTTAAGGTGGCTGGATTCCCATATGGCTGACTGCGGTTTGAATTCTGGACCTGGTGGCTTGAAATTTCCTACTCCTTGAATTTTATTCCACGTGTTTGCATGAGTTCCAATATATAGTGCAACTATAGCAATTTTATTTAATTCTGTAGCCTCAGTACATGTTATTTTATTTAGTTAATTAAAAGTAAAAACATATATGACAGTAAACTGATTACTTATATGATAATATGACACTATTGTAGATCATAGGATCCATAATACTTACTAAGTTGGCAAATGGAAAAGACAAAACTGTGTTCTCTGAAAGCAGTCCCTATACTATATAAGATATAGCTAGTTAGTTTAATAAATGCTTATGATGAATGCATGTTGTCATACTTGAAAGCATGTTTATTAAAATCATAGAAGATCTTAGTAATCAAAATGGTTATATGCAAATTATTAATTTCATGTATATACTCTAACAATGTAGAAAGAGGGAAAATGTGCTCTGGAATATTCTGTAAATGCTAAAATCCAGCCAGTGTCTGTAAAGGACTTAACATTTTAAATATACTCAATCTCTTACACTTACTTGATCTAGAAAAATAGTAATTTTATAGACAATGAACACATAAGGAAGGTGATCCAAGTCTTGCCAGAGTGAATATTAGTAGAAGATAAATTGTTGGAGTATTTGTTAGAAACAACAGGAAGACTACATTGATTGAAGATATAGTCCATGAGGCACTACTAACAAACATACCTTCAAGTTTACTTAAAATCTTTGGGGGAATTCTTACACATCTCAAAAAAAAAAAAAACATATGCTAAACATAAAGAGAAAATTCCTAGTCAAATCCTGCTGTGGCTATTCTTCAAAATAATGACAGCTGCAGATAATCTTGTTGACCCACTGAAACAATTAACTGAGCCAGCCATGTTGTTTAATAGGCTCCAGTTGACATGTTGAATTTATTTAAAGGACATAGCAGCTCAAGCTGTTTAATAATGTATTGAACTGTGAATTAATATGATCTATTTGAGATCAATTGAACTTTCAAGCTCTTTCCACTGATATGGGGGAAACCAACTGAAAAATTACGAATAGCATGCAGTTAAAAAATTTAGCAAGCTGAGCATCTTATAAGTAATTAAACAAAAATGAAACATTTACTCACATGATCTGTTTAATAATTCATTATTGTTGGTCTTTCATGTGGCTTTAGGAAAAAAAAAATTACTGTAGTGGGACCAGCAGTTCGTGTAATGGCTATGTCGCTGGACTCCCATGTAGTTGACCATGATTCGGGTCCCAGACCCAGTGACTTAAACTCACGCCAGGCACATGTGCGTGCATGCGTGCCCAAGATCCCAAGAGGAGAATGGAAGAGAAGGGATTGTAGCATGGCCATCCCCCTGGGGGGTGATTTCTCATTTTCTGTCTCTCTGTGTCTCTTTTTCTGATGAGCACACACACCCTATAGCAAAAACCTCTCCTCCCCCCCAAAAAAAAACTACTGTAGTAAAAGTTTCTTTAGTTTTGCCAATGATAAGGAATGTCGTAAAACGAATGTGATAATGGAATCAGCATGTGGTGTTAAGGTACTAAGCTCCCACATGACTGACTGTGGTTCCAGTCCTGAACCTGGTGGCTTAAAACTCACTCTGGGCACATGCACGTGCTTGCTTAAAATCCCAGGAAGAGAATGAAGGAGAAGAGATTGCAATGTGGTCATCCCCTAGGGTGTTGAGTTCTTACTTTCCCTCTTCCTATCTTTCCTTGGCAAGCA